TTAGCCATGGCGATGCTGGAGGGCGAGGAATACCACTGCTACAGGCCCACTGGTTCAGATGACCTGCCTGTCCCACGTAGAGCACACTGCTGCTTTGCCTTATAAACTTCACGTCCGCCCCACAATCACACACACTTAAAACCCACGTTACAATGACTCAAATAATCCCACGTCTCTGTGCTGCAGGTCCTGCCAACAACGCCAAAATTGTGACCGGGCCAATATACAGGCCTAGGCAACTCAGACCGTAATAACTCTTAGTAGTTCCCCAGGAATAACACCCCTACTGTTTTCAGAGGTCAACTTCATGCAACAGCGTCTCCCCAGGTGTTATTTATATCCCTGATTGTTCTGCCAAATTACTAACCAGGCGGTGTAGGCGTAGCCAACCCGCCGGTTATATAAAGTTATCTAATAAATGTTGTGAGTAAAAAGTACAATATTTTTCAGTAAAATGTAGTATGACGTAGCTGAAAATGAAAAGTAATGTACAGACATACAGTATCAAAATTGTACAGTACTTGAGTAAATGTACTTAGTTACTTTCCACCTTTGCTTATCAAGTAAAAATGCCAAATATTCCCTGGCACCACCTTCTTAATAGTGAAATTTGTGTTTTGTATTGTTTTAAATTGAATATCTTTACATTTTGGAGCACTGGTCAGACAAAACATGACGTATAAATGCATCAGCTTGAGCAGCTTCAGATTTTTTGACATTTGATGGACTAAACAACAAAAGACAGTGAAACTACTCGTTACAGGCCAAATAAGAGCAACCCCATTTTACAAGATATACTATGTGAATGGTAAAACGTTTCCCAAAAAAAAAACACCCACACTCCCACTTAAAAAAAAAAAAAGTAAGACAGATTATGGCTTACAGTAAGTCTCCTTTCCCAGGTCATACCCAGATTTCATGCCAGCAGCCTTCCTGTCCGGGGTCTGGCATCAGGAAATTGGGTGCTTAATCTGTCAGAGGTAAACATGCCTTCTGAGGAAAAAGGAGGGAACATTCCTCAGATAGAGGAATAGAGGAGTATGTATCAGTGTTCAGCCAACGTGAAAGCACGGTTACACACACGAAGTGAGTCCAAAGGTACAGACTTAGAGCTGACATATGAAATAATGAGTTGTACAGGTCTGTGAGATGGTTGAACAGTAACAACTTCATTTGCTTTTGGTGTTCTTGAGCCTGAGATCTGACCCCTGCAAGCTTTTCAAAGAGGAGTGCCTTCAGCAGCACACCATGCTGTGGCATCAGAAGAACTGCTTTACATTTTGCTTGACATGGTACAAGGTTTCCTTCTGAAGCAGACAGGTTAAACGCTGCTGCTGGCTACTGATAGCTTGGAATTTCACACAGATGGAGTGAAGTGTGTTTGCACATGTCTTTGTGTGTGTACCTACCGGTATGTGAGGGCTGTTTACAAAAGGTGGGACAGGTTTAGTTACACACTAGTACAGTATCCACAGAGCCTGTGATTATGTTAGTAGGCACAGGTGTGTGCAAAGTAAATGTGGCACAAGGAAATGTTGAGCCAGTCCAGAGGGGAGAGGGGATCTTAGGGAGCCAAGTTGTGTCACATTGTCGTTGAAATGTTTACCTGAATGTCATGTTTCTTTCTTTCTGTCATTCTCCCTCATCTTTTCCTGCTCTTTCACACTCCCATGCCAATTCTTTCTTGGACTGACCTCCTCTCTTTTACTTCCTTTTCCACTCCCAAATCTCCTTATCAGAGGATGGGCCCAGCGTCCCGGTGCCTGAGGAGATGTCTCTGGGTCGGCTCCTGCGGCGCGCCTCCTCCAAGGCCTCCGACCTCTTGACCTTTAACCCCGGGGCGGGGGGCTCGTCGTTACGCTCGGGCCTGGATGGCGAGATCATCTTCTCCAAAAATAATGTTTGTGTGCACCCTGCGGAGCCGCTGCCTGGCCTGGCAGAACACCACCCAGGTTAGGTGATTCAAATGTTTTAAACTGTTTTTAAAGGGGATTTTTAAGAGCAAAACAAAACAGAAGATAAACATAAGACAAAATTGCATAAAACTGGAGACTAGAGGCTACAGTACAGTGCATGATATGAATTATTTTCATTTAGTCAAAGGCATTTTACTAGGCTTCTTACTGTTTGATGAGTTCACATATTTTAAACTATACAGTCATGGCCAAAATATTGGCACCCCTGTATTTTTGTCAGATAATGCACCACTTCTCTCAGAAAAGTGATGCAGTCACAAAGTTTTTGTTATTCTCTTGTTTATTTCTTCTGTTTGCATTGGAAAAACACAAGAAAAGCAGAGGAAAAAAAGCCAAAAGTGATCCATTCCACACAGAACTCCAAAAATAGACTGTAGCTGTAGCTAATCTCCCTGGATGTGGATGAAAGAGAAAACTAGATGACAGATTGCAAAGGTACAGGTTTACCCTAAGTGGCCCATTGCTGATGAAAGGTTTACGGTTTATGTTGCCGTCTGCAGGCTATCTTTGTCTGCACGTGGAGAAGGACGAGAGCCTGGGCACCACACTGATTTTGACCTGGGTGCCTAACTCCCGTATCCAGAGGCAGGATAAAATAGTTTGCAACAGAAAATAACTGGGGATGTGTGATATACAGACCCTGACGATGGCTACAAGCTGAAATGCCCAGGTTGAAACATTAAATTTGCTCTATACACCGCAGGTGTTGCTGGACTTTTTGCCTTTTCATTGTTTTTCCCTCGTCTATGCATCTTGGCCGTGGATGAAGCTGTGCCAAAAATTTCTGCTTTATTCTCAAGGTCCTAAAATGTCTTGGATGCATTGTAGCTAATCATTTTAACATAAATTTGAATTTGGATATGCTGGAGACATCTCTGTGTTGTTGATGAAGTTTTGATATTGTGATCATTATTATACAGCAGCAGTATGTGCCTGTGGCTCTTTAGTCTCATTTTCAGTAGCACATGTTAAAATAGTCTCAAAGTAATGGGGAAAAGAGTCATTTCCCAGTTGTTAAATATAATGTATTGCACTGACTTGCTGGACATTGTTTTGAAATGATCAGTTTTTTTGTAAAACGGCCCCATAAGAAAAGGGTTCCTCTGCATGTGTTTAACCAAGTTATTATATTGATAATCAAATACTTAAAGAACACTTGTTAAAATATTACATATCAGAAAGAACATGCAGTTGCACTATGAAAACCACAGGTATCCACTAAGATTAAAAACATTTTTCATAAACTGTTCACTATTATGCTTGATACTGATTATTTTTTTGAACCAACAGACCCCACTCCCGTCCCCCGGCAGCCCAGGAGGAAGATGAAGATGATGAGAGGAACGTTACCAGCAGCACCTCTGCAGAGAGCCACAACCTGGTGGTAGAGGCTTGTGCAGACACCACCTCCTCACACCAGCAGCAGCTGTCCTCAGCCGGGGAGGAGGGCGATGAGGGTTCCTGTGAGCTGTCGGACGAGGTGAGCCGAGACAGCACCATGGGTTCGGACTCGGACACTTTCTCCTCCCCGTTCTGCTTGTCCCCCGTCAGCGAGGCCCTCTGTGAGAGCAGCGGCTCCGTCTTCCTGGACAATGAAACCAGGTCAGTGAAAGGGTTGAAAACGGCTTCATTTATGATCTGTATTATTATTTTTACAGAACGGAGTTAATTGATTTTTCACACTCGTATCAAATCCAAATAATAAAAATAATGTGCGTCATGTTTTACTTGGGGTTTTCCAGTAAAGGCAAGTGTAAAACTAAACTCCACTGTAATCAACTTCTGTGAAATAATAAATTACTGCAATTTAAACTTTAGTTATAATAACTCATTTTGCTCTTACACATCAAAAATGTAAATCATTTAATGAACTCTATTCAATATATGTTTAGAATTACCAGGTGGAGGTGGATGTGCATTTCTAAAATTCTAACCATTTGCAAAAGCAGTTATGTAAATGGTTGGTATTCAGATTTTTGCTGCATCAAGAATTTTAGAAATGCACATCCACCTCCACCTGGTAATTCTAAACATATATTGAATAGAGTTCATTAAATGATTTACATTTTTGATGTGTAAGAGCAAAATGAGTTATTATAACTAAAGTTTAAATTGCAGTAATTTATTATTTTGTGATGAACTATCACCGTAAAAAATGCTGAGTTTGGACAATTTGTTTGAACTTGTTCCAGGGCAACACATTTAGCATTGTTTGTTGTAGTGGTAGAGGAAGTCATCAGTTTACCGACCAGCAACATCTTTGGTGGTCATTTTGCTCATTATTTAAGAAAAACTTCAACAGAAAATTCTTTAGTGTTGTGATTATTTAATTAGCACATTATTGTCTTCTTCCATTTTAATTTACTAGCTTAGTGTAATGATAGGTCAGTAGGGTGCGCAATAGGTCAAGCTGTTAATGAGCTTTAAGAGCACCATCTGCTGGATCGCAAAGCAAATTACTGCAAACATGCTGTTGTGTGGGCGGCACAGTGGGGCGGTGGTTAGTGCTGTAATAAGGCTCTGGGCTCGACCTCAGGCCGGCCAGGGGGCCTTTCTGTGTGTCTTCCTCCCACAGACCACAGACATGCAGCTGAGGTTGATTGGCGACTCTAAATTGCCCATAGGAGTGAGTGTGTGTGTGTGTGTGCTTGTGTCTGCATGTGAGCCCTGTGATAGACTGGCGACTTGTCCAGGGTGGACCCCGCCTCTCATTCAGTGTCAGCTGGGATAGGCTCCAGCCCCTCCACAACCCTATTCAGGAATAGGGTGATGGATAGATGCTGTCGTGCTTATAGACTATAAAGTTTAAGTTAAACAGATCAGTACAGATATTTGAATTTTGAATAAAAGGTGAAAGCCCTATAATAAAGCATGTTTGCATAATTAAAATCTAATTTTACATAAATTTTAATAGAATTATGCAGTTGTGTATTCAATTTTTTCTGAGGTTCTTTTTGCACTGGTATTGATAAGTCGGAGAACTGTCAGATTATTTACACTTACTGCCAGGTGCTTGCTCAAGGAGTATTTGTATTTTCTTTATAGTACTGTAAAGTGCCTTGATAGGATTTTTTTTTGTTGTATTTTTGTGCTATACAAATTAATCTGAATTATTTCTATACAGGAAAAATACCAGTTAGTTCTCATTCAGTTAGATTGGACATTCAAAAGCGTTGTTATATTTTTTTTGGTTAACAGCTGCATAGTTTGCACTATAAGAAGTCAAATTCAGCCTACAAAATACTCATTAGAAGTTTGGTCAGCTGGTTTGAACATTGCTCCCAGTTTGCTCCCAAATAGCGTCAGTGGTAGCTACAGTTCTGTCTGCAGAGATATACAGTATACTGTCAGTGACCTCTGGTTATTTGTGACAGTACTTATTGAATTATAAAGGTGTTTTTTTCAGTTACCCTAACCTGCCACAAGGTGGAGCTAAAAAGAAAAGAATTGATGGCATGAGGGCAGGTTTAGACTCTGAGCCACATGGTGAATCTCAGCACTACAACTGAATGTCCCTTGGGATTGCAAGCAGGTAGATGACTTCACTATAGCGCATGACAAATTGGATGTACTTGCTGAAAGCAACTCTATCTATCTAAATGGTTTTAATGTCACAGATGGCCAAAAAGAAGTCATCAAATCTGTAAACCCAAAACCTCAGAGTGTCCAGAGACCGTTCTCTAATCAAGGCAACCATCTGGACCGTGTGGCTGTTCGGACCTCACGGGTGTTTGGATTTATGATTCCCTCCCATCCTCGTTTTTTCCTCATGCAGCTTTTTGGCCTGACATGTTGCCCAGAATGTGTGTGCGTTTGTGTGTCGAGGAGAGCGAGAGAGGCAGTCAGTGTGTGTTTAAGCTTTTTTTAACCACTCTCAGACCCCAGTTTGCTGTAAGTGCAGTCATTGTGTGACTTGGCAACGCTCTCCGTGTCACAGCTTCTAACCTTTACTGTCCTTTCCTTCCTCCTTTGTGCTTTGCTCAGTGTTTGTCTCCCTTCAGCTCTCTGGCACTCACATCCATCCTCTGTTTTTTCCTTCTTGTCTTAGATTCTCCTCTGTCCCCTGTCTATCCATTCTTTATTTTTTATCTTTTCCTCTTGGTCATTCTCCCTGATTTTTGCAATATTGTTTCTTTCGGTGTTGCCCACCTCTCAAATATCCCCCCCCCTCCCTTCCTAAAATCTGTGTGAAGCCCTTTGATTCCCAGTGCTCCCGGGGTTGTTGTGCTGGGCTGAATGTCAGCTCTCCGGATTAGAGGACTGAAGAGAGCGAAGCTGAAGCCAAAACCCTGGAACCCACTCAATCTCGCTTTCTCTCTCTCTTGCTTTAATTGACACTGTTAAGGGGCCAGGAACTGGAAACATGTCACTTGGAATCATTCAAAGAGAAAGAACCTTGTATGGGAGAGCAAGAGCACATGAAAAGGAAGGGAGAAAGATGAGAGTGGTGGGAGAGAAAAAGAGAAATTCACAGCAGTCTCTGTCAAGTTTCTTTACACGTTTTTCAAAGTTTAACAGCATTAAACCGCTGTGTACTTCCTTCCTGGGACTTGCAGAGTTTTAACATGTGGTCATATCTCAGAACGGTGGTTTCCAAGCCTTTTTGGCTTGTCATGTCTTAAAGCTACCACTTACTCTAGCAGCATTGTGTGTGTCTACTGCTTGTTTTCCTTGTTAATTCATTTTTATTTTTAAAGTCCTGAAGAGGTACACAGACAAAAAACAGTCAGTATTCGGCTTTAAGTGGCAGAAGTGTTTTTTCTGCCTCCCAGTCCTGTTACAGTACCTATAAAAACTGTAGACCTCTGAGTAAGTTTTCATGAATCAAAGTATTTTTGACACTGTTTACCAGAAAAAGAAAAAAATCCCAGAAAAAACAAAGTTATTTAAATTAAATGCAAGTTTATAGTAAATACAGTACACCTGTGTATGAGTCAGGATTGTAAAACCTAACTCAAGATGGATGAATACTTTTTATATGCACAGTAATCATCACATGACCCCTTGCGTTTGTCTTGCGATCCCTTGCGAGGGTCCTGACCCCCTTTCTAGAGAGAGGCCTAGAAAGGGGGGCAGGACAGAGGCCTAGAAAGTCCTGGATAAGAATATATCTGACTTGAATGTGTGTTATTTTGGTTCTGGGATTAATACCACATGGTTAATACATGTTTTCCCCTTTCTCAATATGTGAAGCTTCACTGACCACCTTTCAGTGTGTGCCTGCAGAGCCCACGCCACCTCCTTCACCCGAGCCCTCCCTCATTTCTCTCCTCCCTCCAGGGATTAGTTGGAGGGCCTGGGAGCCCCAGGAGGTCTGTAGCCCTTGGTTCTGGTTCTCAGGGTGACCTGGCAGTATCCTCCCTCAGGATATGTGGAGAGAGGTGTTATGAAAGGCCTCAGGGCAGTTCACCCTGGCCTGGTGGGATATGCTGGTTGAAGACGCCTGGCTCCATCAAAACAGCTTGTTTACATAACGTACTCTGTGTACAGATTGTGGCATGGCTCTTGTCTACATTTGCTACCTACAGCACATGAATAGAATCAGGCTGTTGACACTGACAGACTTTGTTAACCACTTGCTGAGTTTCTGCTTGAATACAGCTCAGTGAATGATACATGCTTACATTCCAAGAATCATGTGCTTCCTCCCTATTTTTCCATGGTTTTTGCACTTTAATTTCAATGTGGAGAAATATTCAAAAACATTTTTGCATATGTAATTTAACCATGATGGAGAAATGAAAGAAATGTCTCCTGCAAATGGTCTTACAGGTCTTGTAGACACTGGAGCTATGAAGAAGTGAGTACAGAGTATAAAAGAGCTCCTTCATATTTCAAATTGCTTAAATCCCTTATCCAGAGCTCTCCGTGCCTCTCTCTGTCTCCTTGTTCCACAGTCTGGTTTGTGGCATGATACATGAGACAGAGCAGTAAATCACTAGATTGCTGAGGAAAACTGTGCAGCTTGGATTGATCAGCCTTGTTGTTTTCCCATCTGCTAACAGGGAAATGATTAGCCAGACATGATTGATTCAGGGTGTAATAGATTAGATCTGGCCAGCCTCCATCATCTTTTCAAAGTACCAACTCCTGTTAAACTATACTTTGTATAAGTGTGTCCTTGTGGTACTTAGAAATTCAGACATTTAGTCAAACCAGGAGGAGAAACATTTCTTCTAGGACAATAAACTACATTTTCAAGTTGAATAACATTTGATTTCATAAATAAGAGTATTTGATAGCAAATCATTTAGACATCTACTTCTCAAATGTCCGCGGGATTAACTCATTTCTGTGTTGGTCTTTTTCTCAGCATTAGTGTGTATTGAGGTGTGTTTGAGATTGCGTTATGGTCCAGTCACTTGTGTTTGTGTGTGAAAAGAGAAATACACTCAACATGCCAGCCAGCAAGTTACTCGTGCGTATTTGATTGGTGTAGGGTGGGTGTCTGTGCTGGCCACATACGGTTTTGTCCTTTTTCTGTCGTTACGTGTGTGTGTTTCTCTGTACATATACGTGGTGTGTGTGTGTGTGTGTGTGCGCGCACTTGTGTGTCTAATCTTGCAACATAGAAACCCTCAGCTCAGATTTCAGTGCCGGGAACAACACGCTGGCCATAGGGGAATGACAGGGGAAATTGGACAGCAGACAGTGTGATTTGTGTGTATACAGATACAGATTTCCTTATGTGTGTGTGTGTGTCCTCACAAGCCTCCATGCATTCCTCCCATTCTCAGCCCTTTGGCAGAACCATATTGAGACACAAAGCAGCGGTGCAAAACTTGGCTTAGGATAAGCCTGTGTGTCTGCACAATCAGTGGGCTAAACGCCACTGGCCACTGTACATATTTATTATTAATGTCTCACATAGAAGACTGACTCTGTATTCAAATGGAAGGAACAACAAAGGAAGGGATAAATATGACCTGATGTCTCACTGATAATTTCATGGAAAACATCACTCACTTCCCTTTAGCTACAAAAACACACCCTTTGAAGTCCTAGTTCATTGCAACTTTTTTTTTTAACCCACAGGGAACTTTGTGAGGAGTCCATGACCCACTCGGCCAGCTCCGCCTCCAGCCTGGACAGCCACGCCCTGTCCGAGAGCAGCGCCCAGTCGCAGGGCGTTCGGTGGGAGGAGCAGCAAAAGGTGCTGGCTCTGGAGCAGTTGTGTGGCGTGTTCAGGGTGGACTTGGGTCACATGAGGTCACTGAGACTCTTCTTCAGGTCAGCCAGGAGTCCAAAAGGTCATAGCAGGGTCATGAGGGGTCACTTTGCTGTGTGATTGTGTGATGTCTCCCACTATGTTGTAGGTTTTAGGGCGGTGTCAGTTTGCTTTAT